AAGAGGCAGGGTTGTGTTTTATGGGAAAAGGTCAAGAGGCAGGTTTGCGTTTGGTGGAAAGCGAGATGAATCATATGCAAAGCAGCTAAGTGACTGCAGCGAAGGTCTGGTGTGATGTACTGAGCAGCTGGTCTTGGTTTTCCTTTTGCTTCTTTCATAGAATCATGGAATCATTAAGGTTGGAAAAGACCTCTAGGACCATCAAGTCCAACCGTCAACCCAACACCACCATGCCCACTAAACCATGTCCCTAAGCACCTCATCTACACGTCTTTTAAATCCCTCCAGGGATGGTGACTCCACCACTTCCCTGGGCAGCCTGTTCCAAGGCCTGACCACTCTTTCAGTGAAGAGATTTTTTCCTCATGTCCAATCTAAACCTCCCTGGTGCAACTTGAGGCCATTTCCTCTCGTCCTATCCCTAGGATAGGAATTACTTTATCGATATCCTTCCAATAATCTGAAAAAAACCACCTGCAGCACAGATTGAGTTTCCAAGCCTATGAAATTTAGGACAACAATGACTGGTGAGGGCAGAAACTCCTAGTAAAAGCCATTACCATCTCTGTACACAGGCTATATTACTTCTGGACTTGCTTTTTATGTTCACAACGTTAGATCTATCTCTATAACTTGGTGTTGGCCATGCTTTGAGCTCAGCTAGACGGGAGATGGGTAGAAGAGACCGTGGAGGTGGGAGACTGGTACCTGTGGGTGTTAGGAGTGGTTGTGTTGGGTTACGCAAAGGAGATGATGACTCCTTGGAAGGGGAGGAAGGCCCGGCTGATGGGTGATGAGTTTCTAAATGGCTGAAGTGAGATGAGACGATTTATATGTGATGAGACTTCTTTCTGCGGAGAGATGAAGGCACCTCAGACACAAAGAACCGAGAGATACCCAACTTTATTCCATCTTGGTCATTTCCTGAAGTACTTTGTACATAAATAAATTAGAAATTACTGCAGTGTGTCGGAGCCAGGGTAATACTAGAGCTGCAAAACCTACTTAGACATCACTTTTTTAGTACTCCCTCCTATCCTCATTAAGTGTTTAACCAGGTAGTTATTAGTCCTGTCTGGTGACAGCCAGTGCTCTTTGAGTTTTTTCTTTAAAGCCTTAGCCGCTGATGTCCTCTCGCTGACTTTGCTTGGAAAGAAACAGATTTACGCCACCAAAATTGCCTTCAAACCGCGCTGGTGGCATCCAGCAAGCTCAGCTCAGAGATCTTCCTTCTGCAAGAAACTCCCCGTCTGCTCCCGCTCCTCCTCCTTGTTCAGCGTCCGGGCTTCGCCGCTGTCGTGGTGGATGTTGCTCGCAGCCCTGACGGCCGATTTCATGGAGGTGTCGATCCAGGCGTGAGGCTGAGCCGCGTGTTCTCCTGCAAAATGTACCCTGCCCTCGTGCTCGAAGAGAGCCTGCGAGTAGTCGACGAACTGGTAAGGGGTGAAGGCAGCAAACGCCCCCAGGGCGTGTTTGTCCAGCTGCCACTTCTGGATCACGTACTGGTCGCAGGTGTATTGCAGGTACTCCTTGCTCACTTGGTGGATATCTGACAGGTCTTGGAGGACCACATCCAGGCACTTCTCATCCGTGAGAGGCAGGAAAAACTCAGCATCGTCATTCCAGGTGTAGGAAGCCAGGATCACGCCCACTCCGCTGGAGAAGTTGTGGCTGGGGTAGTAGATAAACCGGGAAGGGCGGTCAGTGATGGACTGTCCTCCTCGGATGCCATCCTTCTCCCAGAACTTCTCGGAGCAAGCCAAGGCTATTTTGGAGGCGCTTGCATAGTGGATGGAGCGCAGGGCGTGGGTCTTTGGAGGAGAGAGCGGTGGCAGGAATTGGATGTGCCTGGTGGCTTTGGCGGTGGATGTGACAAGGACGTAATCTGCGGTTACTATGGTTGGGGCCAGAGTGTCCGGAGCGCGGTAAAACACACGGACTTTGTTTCCCTTAGTCATGATTTTCTCCACCGTGCAATTGAACCGGATGACACTGGGCAACGCTTTGTGGAAGGCTTTGGGCAGTCGGTCAAACCCCCCTGTGATTTCGTCAAAACTGGAAGGAAGAAGAAGCAAGAGGTGAGGGCAGGACATTGGGGTTTAGGAACTGTAAAACCTGACGTCTTCTAGAGATGCTAACAGAGCTTGGTGGCCCTTTGAGTCAGGAGCGATTGCCATTCAGACATCTAAATGCCACTGAAATTTCCTCTTCTGCTGGATTGCTCTAGACCAGCACAAAATGGGGTTTGCCACAGGGGTCTTACCTCTCGTTAGAGAAGATATCAAAATCCCACAGCGAGGCAAGGAAGGACAGATAAAATCCAGAGTCCTCATTCAACAAGTCACCGATCATCTGCACTGCTCCTCGGCTTAGATTTCCTACTTTAATCAAATACTCCTAGGAAAGCCAGGAAGAAGACATAGTCTGATGTCATTATCTCAGTTAGTGCATGTGTCCCCTTTACATCCCAAGCCAAAAGTCATGCCCTGCTGCCTTGTTCCTGCTCCTGATCTGCTTAAAGCCTGGACCAGAAGCTTTTTTTTTTTTTTAATGCAGGTCTTGTAGCTTCTTGCAGGGGATCAATGTCTCCTCTGGTTTAGCATGCCAGAAGTTCTGGAGATGAATGAATAAGGGATTTGTGGCTTGGTGTACTCAGTCTGAGACAGCTGGATGACATGAAAATGCAGTGGATTGCTCAGTAAATCCTCCCCAGTGCTTGATACTTCATCATGTCTGATTAAGAGACCCATGATGGAGGAACACGGCTAATCTGGAGGACTTTCCAGAGCATTTCCAGTCACCACTGCTTCTCTCCTACTTCCAGGTGATGAGACTGCTCTAACAGTCATGCTTGCTCCTTTCTCGGCATTTTAAGTAGAAGTCAGCATTGATTAGGGAAAAGGCATCCGAAAGTGTCAACGGAGGAAGAGACTAGAGTGACTCCGATCCTTTCTCAAAGCAGGGATGTAGGTTTATTATCGTTAGGGGGATTAAATTTACTCTCAAGCCCCAGCCCTTTACCTTGGTGGAGAAGGAGTCATGTTTAGCTAGATATTTCTTGCAGTCCGTAGCCTGGAACTTCGTAAAAGCCTGGGGAGGAAATACTGATATATTAATGACAAAAAGTACATTTCCCAAAGTGTTGCCCCAAATTCCTCTAGGATGCATCTGGGGTATTCGGTCTTGGGGTTTGGTAACCCCTGGAGCTGAGCTAGAACTAGTGGATCCTGCTGCTTGGGCTTTAAGTTTTGGGAAGTTATGCCTTGGTGTGGCATTTTCTGCTTCATCCAAGTCTTGGTGAATCTGTTCCAGAGAAAGGAGGTCTTGCGTATAAAAAGTTTTGCAATCAGTTGCCCTAGTTTCTGAATGAGCCTTTCTGCTTTTCATTCTGAAAGGACCCTACTCTTCCTCAACTCATCGTTGAGTCTTCCTCAGCCCGTCATGCAGGTGAGGGTCCATCACAGCTTCAGAGGAAATAGCTTCAATGTCCCTTGGATGAGCAACATTGCTGGAAGGTGGCATCCCTTCCCCATGGGCACGTACCTTTTCTAGTGCTTCTCTATAAAGCTGGCTGGCACTCTTGCCTCTCTCTGATGGTTTCACCGTGTAGTTTAGGATGTTGGGGTTTCTATCCACTTCCTCCGCTCTTATCCGAGTGCCATTCACAAAGTACCAGGCCTTGTCATCTGTCTGGATGAATGGGTTTAGCTTCAGGTTAAACTGTCTAATGAATTCACGGACGAGCCTAGAAAAGAGGAGAGCACATGGGGACAAGTGCTTGAAACAACCAAACCCAAAAACCCTGCCACCAAAACATCAGAAGCGTAAAAGGACATTTTCCCATTGACTATGTTGGCGTAGCCACGTATTATTTTGGCTTGTGAGTAGCGATTGTGGCTATTTAAGGCACTGCCGACTCTAGTTTTTGCTGCTTGAAGTTGTCCTGCCTGCTCCCAGTGCAGCAACCATGGGGCTATGGAGAAAGGAGCCCTTCGGCTTATGCTTTCTCCAGCTACTGGTTGCACAAGGATGTAACTGGGAGTAAGAGCAATGCCCTGTTGAAGTAGGAGGCAGAGGTTCCCTATGGCTCCGACCCTTCTCCTTGGCATGTGGTGTGGTTGGTGAGTCGCCTACAGCCTCTTCCCATAGCATTTTGGCTGATGACTGAACCTTGTTTGACTCCACCCTCTCACAGAGCCCAGGTTGGATGCCCTCTCCATCAGACCTGATGGAAATTCATCCATTTTCTGATGTTGTGACTTCAAAAATAGAGGTCTGGCCACGCACGGACATGATAGTGAGCTGAGAGGTCTTCCTTCATTCTCCCAACTCACATGCAGGTGACCGTGTGGTTTTTGTCCCTTCTATGCAGATGATAAGCTCTGAGGGGGAGATGGGGCAGACAGCTCCTTCCTCCTGCTGTGCTACACCCATGTCCAAGTCCTCAGCCCCATCTCAAACCACAGCCTTGCTCCTCAAAACGGGCTGGTTCCTCATCTGGACCTCACAAGGACAATGCCTTACCTGTGCTTGCCTGGCAGGCGCATGGCTCCCAACTCCACGTACCAGTCCTGGCCCTCCGGTCGGTACGTCATGATCCGCCCACCAACCCGATTGCTCGTTTCCAGAATGGTAACCTAAAAAACAAGGATGGGGTGGAGATTGCAGATGTTCAAGCAATGACGATTTTAAGCAAACCACCTACAAAGCGAGTTCAGAGGCACTGTGGCAAACAGCATTTATGGCCCATGGGGTGGGACAGGTCCCCTCCAGATGGCAAATGAACTATCTGTAGATCCAACCCCCTCTCCGTATTGGCCAAGATCCTTCTACCTACAGGGCAGTTTCTCAGTTCCTAACTTCTGTGTCACATTTGGACACCTACTCTCTGGTGAGAGGGTCTTAGTGTTGGTTCAGATACTCCCTGTGCTGGAAGGATAAAACAGGGTTTTGAAAACAGCCAGAGGAAGGCACCAACCTGTCCCTCCATCCCTTTGAAACCTTCTTTGAAACTCATGGGTTTGAATTTTGTCTAGCACCTTGGGATGGTCAACACAGTTTTGAAATCCTCAGACTACCTGCTGCCTTAACGAGGTGGGATTTGAAGGACTCGTGAGTCTTGTGCTGGTTGATCTACAGCAACGAATGTCACCGTTGGGCTGCAAGTTGCAACAAGTTGGAGAAGTGTAGAAGTTGAGGCTTGGAGGTGCCTCTGGAGGGGTCTAGTCCAACCTCCAACTCGCAGCAGCGCTGCCTCCAAGGCTGTCCCAGGGCAGCTGTAGCTCTGCCTGATCTCAAAAACCCTTAGGAACAGAGAAAGACGACTGCATCTTTTTACCTTTGCTGCTTACATTCATTTGGGGAGCATCTCAACAACTTGCTTTGCATACAGCTTCCCCTTATCCCCTCCTGTCCACGCCTGTGGTTTTGAAAGTCATGCCTAAATCAGATGAAATTACTGGAGCCCAATTGCTTTTCCTTCCTTCTCCCACCACTGTGATCCACTCCCTTGCATTTCCTTCTCCCTCTCCACGCTGAAGAATCTTCACTGTAGGAAAACAAGACCCAACGGCACTCGCAGCTCTCCTGCAACTACTTACCCTGTGGCCGGCATCGCGGAGCAACTTCGCTGCTGTAAGCCCGCTTATTCCTGCACCGACGATGACCACCTTTGCCGGATGAGTTGCAGGTTCTAGCCCATCTTTGACGATCTTCAGCAGTTCCTCGTAGTCTTTGTCATGAAGGCAATATTCAGGGAAATATGGAAACCTCTTTGCGCTTAGGAGACCTACTAGCAGGAGTATTTGGAAGAGGACTAGGGAGAGAAGAAAAGAAGAGAAGAAAATAATGCAACGAAGGCATTTGGTAATCAGCATGCAAGTTCATTCCTGACAGCCCGGGAGGGAGATGACAGCACAGACTGGCTCTGAGTATCTTGGTGTCCAAACCCTGAAGAAGAACATCTAGCAAATCTGTTTCAAATCAACCGGCGTGATTATGAAATCCATGGCATCAGCAGGTCTCTCATGACCGCAGCCAGACGTCAACCGCTGTCAGTGAATGTGATTTTTTTTTTTTTAAGGAGAAACCAAGCCCATAGATTATTTTCTTTTTTCATACTCATGTTCTGCTTGCGCAGCTGCTGTGGTGAGCTCCCCAAAGGAGTTTGACCCCTTTGAATACCTCAAAAGACTCTATAAAGAAGAATGGTAATTAATGTCATTCACGTGCAAAGAATTAAGGCAATCGTCTTGTCCCAACTGCCCTTTCCCTTACCTTAAATTCATGGCATTTTTGATGCAGTGGGTAGAAGTGTGGAGGGAGGAGCAAATATGGTGTAGAAAGATGGACAGACTAGATGGAGACTATTGCATAGATGGAGACAATATTATATAGAAAGATGGACAGATTAGATAGATGAAGATAGGTGATGGGTCTCCTCTCTTTATTTAAAGGGATTTAGTTTCGGAGACACCCTATAGGGAACAGAGATACTTATAGGGAACAGCAGGCAGACTGCAGCCCGTTCAGAATAACCATTTCTACCAGAACAGACACAAAAATGTTATATTAATATTTTCCCAGGGAGAGGAAGTTTGAACAGAAACCACGCCGGGATTTTTCTAGTTTTGGTTTCTGTTCTCCAGAATAACTACAGGACAACTTTCATTTTCTTTTCCTTCCCCCACATACTGCCAGATTCCTTCCAGGGAAAAAAAGAAAAAAAAAAAAAAAAAAGCTTTTGAAATCACACCCTGGGGAATTCTTACTCCTGGAAAATCTCTGGGGAATTTTGCTGGAACAGCCCTAGATCTGCAGACAACCTGGGTCAAAGTGGACCTGCTGTGGATAGACCTCAGAGCTGTTATCCTGCAGGTGACTTTCTGAGAGCCCTAAGTCCAACTCCTGAGACCAGGTCTTTCTACAGAGCTGATCCAGCTTCTTGAAGACACCGTGGCAGTAAAAAATAATTAGAAAAAAATCTGCTACAATTAGCCCGGAAATAGCAGGGTTGTCTTCTTCAAAAGTATGGCAGAAAGTGATATCATGTTGATAAAGCTGCACCAACCTTCCTGGCCTGATGCTGCTGCTGCCCTGATCTTCCTTGAGGACCAGGGATGCTGTCCTTGAGTTGCGTTTTTGGCACGTGTGGGGTTCGTAGCGGTGTAGAACCAGCAGCCGGTCTTACTGCCCTCATCTCACCCAGCATGCAAACCCCAAAGACCCATGGACTATGTGGAAGACAAAGGAGATCCTTTTTGGAGATCAGGCTCTCCGTGGGAGAAGAGCAAATGCATTGGGACCAGCTCTTGGAAACGTCTGATGGATCTCCATCTTCCATCAGACCTTCTTGTGTTGTGGCTAGACATGGAGAAACCACAAACCTGATGCAAGGTGGTGTCCTCCAGGAAGGTCTCTGGAGATTCCATCTCTCCCTGCACAACTAGGAACATCCCACTCCCCAAACTTGCAAGGGAGCTCTCCCACTGCCCACAGTGCTGCAAAGTTGACCTCCAGATGACCATGAAATACCCTAGCTGAAGAAAGGGATGTCTATGGTTACGCTGTCAGGAGGCGACACAAAAGGCAGATGTTCCACCAGATGGCAAAACCCCCACCCCTAAACCTGGCCAAGATGAAAGAAAACCAGAAAAAAACAGCGAGACAACTCAAGATTCAGGGGAGAGTCACTCACCAATCCTAGCCATTGTTCCAGTAGGAAGACAAGTCCTCTGCTGAGATTTGTTTTCATTTTATACCCTGGGTTAAAAAAAAAAAAAAAAGCAACTCAGCTGTGGTGGTTCAAAAAAAATTCTGCCATCAGTAATCCCGGAAGACGGCAAAGTGTGATTTGTCATGAGAAGGGGAAGCAGCAGTTGAGCATGTAACCAGTTCCTCTGCAGTTGTGTTGAGTTTTTTTTCTTGACTCACCGGTGTCACCACCGGACATCAGCCATCAGTCAGTTTGGGAAGTGTTACGGTTATCAGAATGCAGTAAAGGTGACCTCACCCTTCTCTCTGAAGGGCAGAGAACTTCTCGGCAATGAAATATCAGGTTTGTTTTCCTTCCTTGTGTTGCACAAAGGGGCACCCATTTAAACCTATCTAAATATCATGGAATTCATTCTGCATCCCAGGGAGACATTTGAGCTAGCATCCAAAAATACCCTTTCCGGGGATGAAAATGGGCATTTGCAGATGACAGTTCATCTATTGGACACTCTTAAGTGTTGCACATTTTTGGTTTGATCCTCTCTTTGTTACTATAGAGGGAACTCAGAGCTCAGGCGCTTTCACTGAAATGGCAAAAACTGGGTGAGTTGTACCAGCATTTTTCCAGAACGAAGAACTTTGACCTGCCAAAGCACCATAAACTGACCTGAGGAACCATCCCTTGGCTGGTTCACCACATCTTACCCACCATATGGACACACTCAACTCTGTGTAGGCGCCTTGGCTGGTCTGCTCCTAAAAAAAACCAACCCTAAAAAAAAAAAAAGAAACCCACCACAAACTACCCTTCCCCTCCAAACTTTCTTGTCTCGTCTCTCCTTTGCCTTATGCCTAAAGACCGTCTTTTTCCAGTTAATCGGATGATTTGCTGATTTGATTGAGGAAATGAAACTCAGTGTTGGTACTTCCCAGAGCCTGATGGGTGATGCCAGCACCAAGGCAGACGCCAGCCTCACAGAAGGGGCTTCCTTTGAAAAGCATTTTGCTGGAACTGGTTTTGCAAGCCTCAGTAGCGATTGACTCTTCTTAGTACTACTTTCTTATTGAAATCCTCCTTTCCCGCCCCCCCCTGCAATGCTTTCAGTTCTCCTTGCGTCGGAGCCCAGAGCTACGTGCATCGAAGCAGAAGCAAACTTACTCCCTTGTGCTATTAAAAGTTTGGTCTTTAGTTGCCTGGGTCTCTTCCCAGACAGCAAAGTTGAGAGCACAGTGCGGCTTTGGTATTTTTTTTTTTTCCTGTCTTCTTTCAGTACCGCTTCCTTTAGTTCTTTGATTACGACAGCTCGAGGCTCCTGTGCAGAGCCAACCTCATCACCGTGCTCTGTCCCATTCAGGTCTCAACAATATTGTGGGTTTTTACTAAATTTAATCATAAAACATCTTGAGGTGGAAGGGAAACCTAAGGAGCATTGAGTCCGACTCCCCAAGTTCAAGTAGAGTCTTAGAGAATCACGGCAAGGGACGTGGGGCTTTGGAAGGATCAGGTGGTGGTGCCCACCCAGGATGCTACGTTGGTCTACTCTTTTAAATAATGCCCCAGAAGAGTGGATTGCAGAACCATGGCAAGGTCAGGACTGTGAGCATTGCATGGACATCCCAAGCGTCACCCCTTCCAAGAAGTCATGCTCTCAGAAAGTCACAAATTAAGTTCCTTCTGGGTGACTCTGGTCTTCGGGGAATGGTGCTTACAAATGTCTTAAGCCACCGATGACCAGGGTTTTCATCTTTGCCACCCAGTATGAACCCCTGAATATATTTGGAAATGGCCTCAAGTTGCGCCAGGGGAGATTTAGATGGGCATTAGGAAAAATTTCTTTCCTGAAAGAGCGGTCAGGCCTTGGAACAGGCTGCCCAGGGAAGTGGTGGAGTCTCCATCCCTGGAGGTATTTAAAAGACGTGTAGATGAGGCGCTTAGGGACATGGTTTAGTGGGCATGGTGGGGTTGGGTTGACGGTTGGACTCGACGATCTTAGAGGTCTTTTCCAACCTTAATGATTCTATGATTCTATTTGCATCTATGGGATCTCTTGGTTCTGGTGGACTTGTGATATAGACATTGGGGTTTTGTGGTGCTATGTTCAATGGATCTTCTTGGAAGAAGTGTGGGGGTCTTGCAATGTGCTGGTTGATGGAGTGTGAGTGTGTTTCTCTAGCAAGACGGAGACTTTGTGGGCCCGTTTCTTCTGCCTGCTCCTGCAGGTAGCCCAGTCCTGGGGGAATTTAATCTTCCCCAAAACCATATTCTCAGTGTTGCTGCTGGGATGGCCAAGGAGGTTCATTGTGCTTTTAATATCACCTTGGCTGTGCCATTGACGGGCTCAGTCTCTTCCAAAACGGTGATGTCTTTAATTCCAGGATGTATCTCTGCCTACATCAAGGCAAAATTAGGACCTGATTCTTTGCATCCAGTTCACCAGTTTCATCATGATGTCCACAAGTTCCCCTTTGTCCTCATCAAAACTGGGTGACGAACGTTTGTGGAAACTTTCCTTCTAAGAAAAACTAAAAGATTGCATGTTTTTCCTGAGGTTTTTGTTCCAGAGCACGTCTCCATTTAAGAAAATCCACCAGTTTCATTCAGGTTTAACATTTGGAAAAGGCAAAGGCATTATTTTTCTGCAAAAAAACCCCTTGGTTTGTGTCTGATTTTTCACTGGCTTGTGATTACCAGGTTGTTTTCCTGATACCTGTGGGTGTCTACACTGAAAACCCAGCAACACGTATTATCTCTTCATATGAAGCAATGATACTTCTTGGGGGATTTGGGGATTACATGATGAAACCAGTAACGTACACATGTTCCAGGACAGCTGGAGGTTTTGGAGGGAGGACGGTTTGTTTCATTTTGTTTTTATAAGAGCTAGGTTAAGGCGTGTACTCACAAGTTGCTTTAGGATCAACACCAAATGACAGGTTTTATTATCTGAGTATAAGCAATGCATACCACCAATTGCAAAAGGAGTTCCTCCCATGTTCCTGCTCCCGTCTGCTGCTTCCCTGAAGATTACTGGAAACCGAGTTTCTACCTGAAACCAATTACGACATGAAGCTTGGAGAAGGACAGCAGGAGGGATGAAAACCAAATGGAATCAGCCAGCGTGGGATGGGGGAAGAAAGGACAATTATTTGCCTTCAAATAATC